CTGAGAAACTAGGGAGGGTCCCTTCTGAGCCTCTTGACCCATCCACTATGCAGCTGAGGGCTATGCCCTCTCTTATCTGACCATTCCCTAGACAACATCTCTGGGCCCTGTCTCCCAAAATCATTCCCACATACCATTACATCACCACCACGTGAGGCACTCTGTTTCCTTGCTAAACACTAGGAAATGCCTCTGGATGTCCAGCTGAAATCTATTTCCTTGTAACATCATAGGACCCTGGAGAGGAAGGGTTGGACGGGACCTTCAAGACCAGCTGTGGGCTAAGCTGTCTCTTATCTGACTGTTCCCTTGGCAGCATCTCTTTGCCCCTTCTCCCAAGGTCTCTCCCAGATATCATTACAGAGTGCATGTGTGTGTGTATACATATGTATAAAACCCCCCACAAACTTTGCAATGCCCAACTTCCCAGGAGTCTTTGTGTGTGTGCGTGCACACACGCACGTGCACGTGTGCCTGTATTTATTTAAATAATTTATATGGCCTCCCATCTCATAACCGTGACTCCAGACAGCCTACCAGGATGAAAACCCCAGCCACAGCATCGGCAGAGAACCCACCGTGCCCGTGCTCAAAACACAAAACCCCAATCACAAAGCCTCATCAGCTGCCCAGCTTGCCCGACCTCGCAACCCAAACAGCTGGAGAAACAGCCAGGACTTCAGCGCCTTGTGAAATCCCAGCAAAGTCGGGGCCAGAGGGACGCTGCTCCCCCAGGCAGAAGGCATGACTCCGGGGGGGCCCAACAAGACAGAATCGTCTTTGCATCCAGCCAGCTTCTTGGAGGTGGCGTGGTTGGGTAGGGATTCACTTAATTAAAACCACATTTGGAAAAATGAAAGTCAGCCAAGCCAGGAGCCTCGGCCGGCTGTGGGAACCAACTGGCTTCCCTAATCTTGCTCCGTTGTAGACCCCCCCAGGATCTCCCCCCACCGGCTTTTCGGAGGCAGACGGAGATGCCTTACCTCAAAACGCTGTGAGTTCACTTTCTTCCCCTTCTTGTTCCAGGTGACGCGGGGCTTGGGGTCTCCCGTCGCTTGGCACACGAAGGACGCCACACCTCCCGACACCCCGATCTGGTCCACGGGGTGCTTGATGAACTGTGGGGGACCTATGGCCAAGGGGGGGAGAGAGAAACACAAAGAGGGATGGTGGATAAGTTGAAGGGTTGGCTTGCCAGAGTTACTATTTGCAAATTGACAGGGTCAGTGGTCCGGTTTCATCTGCTCTCTGGCTCAAGGGAGACCAAACTTCCTCTCCAACTTTTAAAAAGCAACCCTTTCTCAATTTGTTGTCATTTTATTAAGAAACATTTCTTGATAACCCTCCAGGGGACTGGATGTGTGACCTGGTTTGGACTGGGTAACACTTGGACAAGAGACTAACAGGAAATCCCCGGGCCGCAGATGAAACTGGGGAGTAAAAAATTAGAAAATCCTAAAAGATGTCCAATTTCTTACTTATTGTTGCTAAGAAACCTTATGATGGGATTTTTTAAACATTCCAACTCTTGTCTGCAGGTTCAGGGTTTCCTAGTGGCCTCCTATCCAACTACTTATCCAGTCCAGCCCTCTTTAGCTCTTCGAGATTAGCCTCTGTGCTGCTCTCCGTTGTGCCCAGTTTAATCTGGCAGTCTTTATCGGTGAAAGCCAGTCAAATAAAATTAAAAAATAAAAAATGCCCACATAGTTCGGCCAATTTGTCTGGGCACCGTGAAATGGGGTTAAGCTCTCTCCTCTGCCCCAACCAATGGCACCTCTGGAATGGAAACTGCTGCTGAAGCTGATTGGTTCATCTTTGGCTGAGTGGGCGGGCTTAAGCATCTCCACACTCATTTTCATCCCCCATATACAAACTCTGCCTCTTTTATTAATCACTTCACGATTGCTTTGTCTAACATCTCACACAGGTGCTGCAGCCTCCATCCTCTATAAACTTTCTTCAGGCTGGTTTCTGAAAGGGATGATGGGCTTCCTTGCCTTCTCTACCTCCATGAGGACAGGAAACTTGAGGCTGGGCAGAGATTTTCCAGGAAGATAAATGCTGACTCCAGAAAGACATGGCAAGGCCATGCTACAGATCTGCCCAATTCCCTTAGGCAGACAGAACAGGGATGCCCAATGGGGAAGGATAATGGGGGGTGTAGTCCAAAGAGATGCCTAGTGATCAGCTGTAGATACCCAAACCCTGCCAACCTGTAAACAGCGCTCGATCTGCAGGGGGAGTAGAATACCTCTTCCTGAAATCAGATCTCTTTTCTTATTCTCTTTCTCTTCTTTATTTTTTTGGTGCCTAATTAATTGAAGGCTGCAACAAGAATGTCACAGGCCCGACTCCTATTCAGCAGGGAGACAGAAAGGAGGAAAACTTTGCAGAGCCACGCTTCGGCTCTTGAAACGTACCAGCCAGTTTTGAATAAACTGGTGGTTACGCTTGCACGTAGATGCCCTTTGACGCTTTACACTGGATATATAAATTTAACCTGGCATAGGCACACACAGAGACACACGCATGCACACACTTATATACGGGTGTCTGTATATGTATTTTCTTAAGCCAGTTTAGAGTTAAACCAGCGTGAGCCAAGATAGGGTGGTGTGAATATTTATTTATTTAATTATTTAATTTGTCCCCCGCCCATCTCCCCCCAATGGGGGACTCTGGGCGGCTCACAACATGTTAAAGCAATAAATAAATAC